CAATTATTTTTCCGATTATTCCTATGTCATGCTTTTTTATTTTTCCATTTCTAATCCTTCTTTCCTTTGCAGCTATTTAAAAATGTCACTTGACATATTTTTGGATTCTGAACTAGATGACGCATTAATGCACACCATTCACGCCATTCAAAATGTGCTTGATGATGATGCATCAATGCACACCATTCAAAATATGCTTGATGATGATGCATCAATGCACACCATTCAAAATGTGCTTGATGATGATGCATCAATGCACACCATTCAAAATGTGCTTTATGATGCTGAAACAGAAGAAATAGAAGAAACAGGTAAAAACATTAAATAAAGTACAATACCCCCAAACCTTACCAACCATGGTCAGCCGACTGATCAACTTTTACAGCCGACTGATGAGTTCGTCAGCCGACTGATCAACTTGTCAGCCGACTGATGAGTTCGTCAGCCGATTGATCAACTTGTCAGCCGACTGATGAGTTCGTCAGCCGACTGATCAACTTGTCAGCCGACTGATGAGTTCGTCAGCCGACTGATCAACTTGTCAGACGACTGATGAGATGGTCAGCCCTTTAAATGCGGTTATTCTCGAATAACAGACCGGAACGAACATTTTTACAATCTGGGCCATTTAAAAAGAAAAATTTAATTTTCGGGATTAAACGAAAGAATATAAACATATAAAAAACATAAGCATCGAAAATGTATATTATATAACTAAATAGCTTACATTGCACTATGATTGCAGCCTTGTCTATCTAGCCATGTACGTCTGTCTGTTTGTCCGTTTGTCTGATTTGTCCATTCTTTTAAATATTAGTGCGATCTAACATTGCATGTTTTAATAATTTTAATTTTTGTTCAGAAATAAGTTTGTCTACAGTATGCGGCTTAAGTCGAGTCCGCCTGTCAGATATTATTTGTCCAGCCTTGTTGAGCATCCGTTCTGACCGCACGATGTTGCAGGAACGCATAAATATTTCTTTGAGATCTCTTTCAATGGCTTCATATTTTCAGAATTTGTCTAAAGGACAATTGATTAATATTACAAGATTTTTCTTATAACTCAAAAATTCACCTTCCAATACAAAAGTGGGTAACATTCCTCGGGCTCGTTATTTCTTTCAAGATGCTGCCTCAACATGCTAATAGCATCAGCTCGCGATGATTGCCCTATGTCCATAGACTTCGATTTCATAAATGAGAACTTTGGTTTTTTCGAAGGAAGAGTCAGTTCTGGTTGGGTTACATGTTCCTGGGGCGTTTTTAAAATAATTGACAGCTTCTTCTGCATTCCCTGACAACTTAAACCCATCCTTTTTAAATCTTTAAAGCTGACTATAAAAAAATATAATTAATGACTTTTTTCTTAGACGTTGAAAAAATCATCAATGCAGAAATGAAAATAGGTTCGCTTACAAATACCAACAAAGCAATTGTTTTAAATTACCTAAGAAAAAGTAATGTTAAGAACCCCGTTAAAAATGGAATTGTTCACCTTTTTGGTAATTTTCATCATTTCAAAGAAGAACATTTCGACATAAGCTTCGATGAAAACCATATATCAGTAAATAGAAGGAATTTCAAAATTTTAACATTTAGAGCACATGCCCACTCGAGAAAACTCGTTAAATCCCTATCATTGAGGGTTAACGAATTCTCGAAAAGTGATCATATACGTGCCATCAATATAGCCGAAGAAATACTTTACATATATGAAGCGTTAGACACATACAAGATTCGAAATAATGTGCTAGCTTTTAACTGTGACAATAATAAGATTAATGAAATAGCAGTGAAACATGTACTGCAACACCAGATTGTCTATGACATTCCGCATGTCATTGATACTTTGAAAAGACAATACAGTATTAGAAATGATAAAATTATCATTAATTTCATGAACGCCGCACTAATATGCATTAACATCGATGACGAATTTAAAAAAGCAGTACAGAACTTATACAAGAGAACGTTAACGCAAATACGAGATATGTACACCATTTAAAAAAAAACAATTTAAATATTGATTTTACTCACATCAATACAATCTCGTAGGAAGTAATTATGAGAAATTGGAAGAAAATTCTATGCCCAAAATTGACTAAGATTTCTTTAAAATACAATCGGTTCGAAAACAATAAAGATATGTTAGAACTTATAGTCAAGACATTCGCGTTGCAAATAGCGGATGAAGAGGGAGTAAGTATTACTTAAATCTTTTCTGTAAGCAATTTAATTAAAATTGTTTCTTTTCGTTTCAGGAACTATTTTTTTTTTTTTTTTTTGGTGGACTACAAGCAGGTCAACGTGGACCTGGAGCGGCAGAGGCCTTTGAGTCACCTGAACATCTTCAAGCAGCTATGGCAGTTGAGGAGGCAGTCGCAAACCCTTCAGCGCGGTCAGACCGAAGTGAAGGACGCAGTGCTGGCCGTTAAACGGTGACAAATAGAGCGATGGGAAATGGCCTCGATAATAACAATATATTTCCGCAGCTATCTCGAACGTGACTCGACCTATTTGACCCTTCTGAACATTTACGACGGCGTGGAGACCATTAATCTGCAGCAGAGCTTCCCCGGTTTGCCTTCTCAGCTCACAGTTGTGCTGGTCACAGAGCGATCTCAAGTCAAAGTGGGGTAGGTCATAAAGTTCATTTGAAATATAAGCCAGCTTTATAATGTTTGAATATACCCTGCAGGAAACGGAATCAGTTTTGGACTATTAAAATACTAGTTGGGTCAAGAAGGTTAACTAGTTCAAGTTATGTCCATTTCCTTGTAACGAAGTGGTCCATTTTTCATATGCTTGTCGTCGGAAACAACTAGTCTCTTTTGCCTCTAGTTTTGCACTAGTGACTGTTAACCAATTTACGGTTACAGCTGTTAAACTACACTCAAAAAAATATTTTCACGAAAAAACTAAACCATCAAGTGATGGAATTTCACTAGTACTTGACGATGCCTAACTTGACGCTCTCCTAATTTAGTATCCAATCAATAGGCGCGGTCCATAGAGAATTTCTGATAATTATTATGTAATCAAATACAGTAAATGATAATTAAATGGAATTAAAACAAACTTACTTTTTTTGAGGCAAGTCGCCCTCTCTAGGACTTGAACCCGGGACCTTTGGATTTGTAGACACACTAACTGATTGAGCCATACACGCATCACATTTTGTAATGCCCTAACAAGGTTTATGAATTTTAGTGTGACATAATTCAAAAACAGTGATTTTTCACATATATATTGCTTCGGACAGATTAAACAAAGTTTAAAATTAAACTAAAGCATCACCTAGCAAACAAAAAACAAAAAAAAATGCACAGAGACTGGGGATTGAACCGAGGACCTCGAGTGTTTGATTTGTTTATTGTTAAATTTCCCAAGACATTTACCCTCTAGGCTATATTTTTGGATCATATGTGTTTCATTTGCAACTAGTTAAATTCCAGTTGCCTTTTAACTAGTCCCTAACATGTATTTTTTCTACCAGTTAAATATTTTTAAGGTTTTTTTTGTCAGAAAGGTACTAGTCCGAGACAAGTTTATTTTTTACTAGTTTTGTATTAATCATTTTTTCGACTAGCACAAATTTTCTAGACCCTGTGTAGTCCAAATGCATTCAGACAAATTCCGGTTGCTTTATTTTAGTTGTATTACTAGTTGTTTTTCAGACTAGTTCGCATTTTTCCTGCAGGGTATTTATCACTCCTAGTGATCTCGTCAACTCCAGCCCAAGGACTCGCTGATCCTGCAGTCCAGCTCCTCCTACTACAGTTATGCCACCAATGGCGAGACTCGTTTTCTGCCCATTCTGGGCTTTTATCTCTGGCTGGCTCATGTGGCGCTCTATCTGAGCAATCGATGAGTTCCCACCCCCTGGATTCCAGCTGCTAGATAATAACTAAATACTCCCAATAAACGCAGTCGAAGCACTTGAGCACTTATCGGTGGAAAAATCTCTGGAAGCCCGTTCAGTCAGTCAGTCATGGCGTGTTTGCATCAGTTAATCATAGCGATACTCCTCCTAGGTCTACACTGCGCCCTTGCACTATGGGAAAAAATTCTATTTTTTTGGCATAAACTCTAGTTTTAGAGATACAATTTAGAACATTTTTATATATACTATTAAGATAAAGCTGGTATTTCGGTTTTTGTTGCTTTTTGAATCGGACCATTGCTTTCATCCACCGCCCACGCCGCATATTCAAATTAATTGGCAGGGATTTTAAAAAATTTGTATTTGTATTGGTAAGACGGTAAAATAATTTCGGATTATGATAATTTTTAAAATTTGTCAAAAAAAAAAATTGCTGACATGTACAAGAAAAGTGATGCCAATTTTAGCTTTAACGGGGGTCCAGCTTCTTTATATTTAAGCCCTTTGCAGCCAGGCTTTTCACTTGACTTGTCCCTTTCCATAAATTCAATTTTAAAGATTAATAAAAGCCACATAGATTGCTTTTTTATTAAAAAATTTTTTTTTATGATTTTAAATTGCTGGATTTAAGTCACTTTTTTGAAGAAACGTGCAAAAAGTTTCAAAAATTATTAGTTTTGCGATATTAAGGATACATTTGGTAATAACTTTGCGTTTTTACCTTTTTGCAACTTTGTGCCATTTATAAATTGTACACCACGGAACACAAACAAACTTGTTAGTTTTAATAAAAAGATACACATTTAAAACAGTTCACAGTTGAACAACAAGCCATAATAATCAATTTGTTGCTCCACAAAATAAGCACTGAAAGTTTGCAAAGATTTTTCACTAATTTACGCACACAACAAAGTCAATCGAAGAGCTGACTTTGTTCGCTTATCAACACTATAGTGTTGTTAGTAAAAAATCTTAGATAACTGTTCTTGGCTAATTAGGGTATGTAAATTCACAAAATATATTTAATTTTTAAAAATAATTTATAAAATAAGTTGATTTTATGCCAAAAAAATTGACTCTTTTCCCATAGTGCCTTGGGAGAGCGGCAGCAGTCGATATGGATCTCGACTTGGAGAGGGTCACCACCACCACGGACACCACTCGGGATTGGTGGCAAATCGCCCAGTTCTATCAGATCTATCCGCGCTCCTTAAAAGACTCGAACGGCGATGGCTTCGGCGACCTGCAGGGCATCATCTCCAAGCTGGAGTACTGAAGGAGATCGGAGTGACGGCCACTTACAGCTTATATTTCGGCCATTTACAGCTCGCCCATGGCGGACTTTGGCTACGACATCCAGCCGGAGTACGGAACCCTCGCGGACTTCGATGAGCTGATTGTGGAGGCCAACAAGCGGAACATCAAGATCATCCTGGACTTTGTGCCCAATCACTCGAGCGACGAGAACGTTTGGTTCCAAAAGTCGGTAAAAAGGGAGAAGGGCTACGAGGACTACTACATGTGGCACGATGGCTATGTGAATGCCACCACAGGGAAGAGGGAGCCACCCTCCAACTGGCTGCAGGCCTTCCGCGGCAGCGCCTGGGAGTGGAACGCAGAGCGCCAGCAGTACTACCTCCACCAGTTCGCCGTCAAGCAGCCGGATCTAAACTACCGCAATCCCGCGGTGGTGGCCCAAATGAAGCGGGTGCTCACCTACTGGTTGGATCGCGGAGTGTCTGCCTTCCGCATAGACGCGGTGCCCTGGTGCTTCGAGGTTCTGCCCGACGAGCCTCTGAGTGGCTACACCGACGATCCGGATGATTCCTCTTACCTGAAACACATCTACACCCAGGATCTGCGGGAGACCGTGGAGATGGTGTTCCAGTGGCGAGGCAATTATCACCACTGAATGCTGCATCTCCAGCGATGTAAGGGAAACGCCGGAGGAGCCGGAAACCCAGGAACCGGAGCCACCTGAAACGGAAGCCCAACCCAGTGCCCCAAGTGCCCCGCCCGCGACGACCTCTCACATCGTCCAGTATCCCAATCTGCACCCTATGCAGTTGTCCAATGCCAAAGTGGAGTCCGCCAAGATTGTGTACCGCCAGGCGGAGTCACCCACCGGTTTCGCCCTGGCCAGGAGTCACATAAAGCCACTGAGCACCGAGCAACTCCCGCAAATCTACGATTGCCCCGATCTGGAGTTGGCCAAGCAATTTGAGCTCGAGTTCCTCATGAACTCTCTGCTGGAGTCCAGCGAATCGGATTCTCTATATGCTGCCGTAATGGAATACTACGAACTGCAGGGCAAGATTACCTCCAATATGCACGATGTGCAGAAACTGCGCAAGGGCTGCACGGACTCCCAAAAGCAAATCTGGGTGCGTCAGCCAGTTACGCGTACCTTCAGTGGAACCTGCGGAGATGGCAACGCAGTCCAGGAGAGCATCACCTACGAGTAAGTAATACTCTGCATTTGCACTTTAGAGTCTTACCTTTTTTCCCGCAGTCAAATCAAGGTGGATCCTATTAAACTAGAACTGGCCCAGACGGCTTTGACTGGCCTTTACGACCTGGTTTGTCACACTTACACCAACAACCTGATTACAGCCAATATAACCAAAGTGAAGGTGAACGAAATCATCAACGATCTGCTGGCCTATCCAAATGCAGATGGACAGTCGGCGATTATATTGCATCACTCACAGACTGGCAGTGTTGGGACATACCTAGATACTTTTACCTAGGTATGTACCTAGGTACAATTTAGTGGTACCTTTTACCTTACCTAGGTATAAAAATAATTGAGTACCTTTTACCTTACCTAGGTACAGATTTTTATATACCTTTGAAATTATGAAGGTACTTACATAGGTATTAAACATTGCTCTGATTTAAAATAGCCAAATCTGACTGCGACACTGTAGTACCGTTTCATTGTATCGTTTCGTTTCGAAATTGTAATAGTCGGAACGCAGCATTAAAAGTCATTGGAATTCAGCCGTTCTATGGTTTGTTTTGTGAAGTTAAAACTAATCGCAGTTTTATTTTATATCATTTTGTGCACGTATGTATGTTCCCATCACTACATCAATTTATTTATGAAACCAAAGTGTATTTGGCGCGCAAAAATGCCGTATGTACGTAAACAAACGGCATATACATATACATAGTCAATGTTTCTACATACGGAATTTTTGCGCGCCAAATATGTACATGAGGGTTTAATAAATACATTAATGAAGTGCATACAATTATTCATGCCGCGTGTTTTAAAAATATATGCACAAAATTAAAACATTTAAATTTAAATGAAATGAAAAGATATTGTTTAATTAAGACGACTAAAAACTGAAAACTAGTCGTATTTTAAGTTTAAATGATTACATTGAACAAAACAAAAAAATTATAAAAAATAAAAAAAAACAATATATTTACCTTATACCTTTACCTAGGTACTGGGAAATTGAAGTACATTTACCTTACCTAGGTATTTATTTTTGCCCAATACCTTTTACCTTACCTAGGTAAGGAAAAACACAGTACCTTTCCCAACACTGCAGACTGGGCAGGCTCTGGAGTGCGTTTCCCAACTAAGGCGAGCCATTTCCACACTCTTCAGCTTCGTTCGACGGCCAAGTCCCAATGTGGTAATGAAAAATGCCTCAATCCTTTTTAACACATTCATCTGATTATGTATTCTTCAAGCAGAACTTCGTCAAGGGCCTCAAGGAATGGCTGCGCAAGCTGATTGCCTTGCAAGTTTTGCTGGCCACCAAGGAGGTTCACTGGTTCTTGCTGTTCAATATCCTGCGCTGTCCCAATGGCGTTGGCTCCTGGGCCGCCCAATTCCTGCAGTTGCCTGGAACGCGAACAGTGGCTAAGGGTTCCCAAGAAAACGAGCTGCCCCTAGACCTTAACTCCCCGAGCTAAATCACTGTATGGCCGTGCTGCAGATTCTGCTGATGTCGGTGAAAAAGCGAAACGAGTATCTCAAAAGACAGGCCCAAGCACACCGGGAACTTTCCAACGATTTGGTGAGGAATGCGGAGGCTGCCTTTCAGCGGAAGACTTCTGGCAAAAGTTCGATCTGGCCAATGCAGATGTGGCGCCCGAGGATATGTACTACCTGCTGCAGCCCTTATTTGAGATGGCCAACGATCGGAACATCTTCCACATTGAATACATATACCAGTCCACGAGGGAAATTTGCTATAAAACGGCGCGTGACATGCTGGCCAACTTGATGGAAGAGGATCTCTTGGGCTGTCTGCTGGTTCACCTGAATATGCGATACGGCGAAGTCGATCAGGCGGCGTACCTTTTCAAGGCTCTGCCACTGGAGAACTGGCACCCCAGCATGGACAGCTTCGAGGTGCTTTCAAATTGGCTTCTTCACTTCGACTACCAATCCTCGGAGAGTCATTTGGCGCGCCTGATCATCAGTCACCTAAACTGGGGATTGGATTGCGAGGGACGTCTCTTTCTGCCCCACAACATTCATGTAAGAATGGCCCACTTGGTGAATGAGGCGTTGAACAAGTATGCTCCCAAGGTCATCGGAGCCTCCGGCATCTCCGAGATCAGGGAGTAGAGTCCGTGAAGCGCACGCTGCCAGCAGTTTACACCAGAATCAAAGCGTTTTTAAATTGGATTAAGGACAGGATGAGGGCCTAACATGTTGTAAAGATTAAATTTAAATTGGATTAGTTTTATTTGTCAAAAGAACTCGTAAAAGATACACAAATACACGCAGGTAAATACTGTTACGATTACAAGAAACCCCAGAACACGCAAATGACGATAAATTACAATAGTGACTGTAGTGACAGAGACATCGAGAGAAAGAGTTAGGCCGCCGGATGGCGTGCGGAATGTTTCGGCGTCGGTGGCCAAAAGGACCCGGTCGTCCGCTGCGAAATCCTCCACCGCCGCCAGCGATTGACGATTAGCGTTTAGTGGTTGTTGGCATAGAAGCCATGACCCGAGTTCCCCATGAACTCCGTCCAGCGCTGCGACTCCAGGGGATCCAGCTCCGAGCAGACCTCCCTGGTCTCAGGGAGCGGCAGGTGCACTCGATCCCGATGCGGGCCACCACCAGCTGCGACTCGAACTTGGGCAGGGCCGGCTCCGCGTTCACCAGACGCTCGCTGAGGCACTGCTTCAGCGCAGCACGCGCAGGTTGTCGATGGTGTAGCCTGTGAATAGTCAGGAATATTTTACATAACTTCACTACCCAACCCTTGCCCCACTCACTCTTGTAGGCGCTGATCTTCTCCTCCACGCAGCTGAGATCCTACGGCGAGAAGAGCGGCGGATAGGCCTCCGATTCGCGGATGTTCAGGACGAAGGCAAAGTCCAGCGAGGAACTGGCATTGCCGAGTGCCTTTAGCAAAGCGCCGGTGGATGAGATGGAAGCCAGGTACCAAACGGCTCCGGAGGAATCCTCTGGATCCTCGCCAGCTGCAGTCGTGGTTCCGGCAGCAATCTCGCGTCTCTTGCGACGCCTCCTCTGCTTCTTGTTGCCCTCCTGGGCGTCCACGGCCTGTTCCCGCGCCTCGTTGTCAAGCTCCAGATCCCAAAGGCTGAGCGGGGACTGGTTGGACATTGGCTGCCCGGTGGTGCTGGGCGTGGCTATGGTGCTGGATGTGGCGGTGGTGGCCTCGCTGCGCACATCACGACTGCCGGGACTGGGGTACTTGGACCGCAGGTGGATGGGGCGCTCACGGTCGCTCAGCTCCAGCAGCGGAGGCTTTTCGTCGTTGTACACCAGCTCGTACTCCTCCGGCCGACGCAGTTGATTCGCAGCATCCGCCGGCAGCTGCAGTCCTTCGTAGTCCTTCTGCAAAAAGGAATAGGGGTAATCTCTACTACTATATAAAATAAGCATATTTAAAATGGGAAGTTGAATCGCCAGCAATGACGGTATGACATAGAAATCTAAAACGTAAACCGAAATTCGGTAAAAAATCAAAAATGAGAACTAATTGGTTTAAAAAAAAAAAAATTTTTTTCTTTAAGGTTAATATTTTTGAAAATTTTTGTTAAATTTCTAATTTAGCTTGTGCGCCAAAGACGGTATGACATAGAAATCTAGAACAAAACCGAATTAAGTTAAAAAATCAAAGATGAGAACTAATTGATTTAAAAATAAATGTTAAATTTTTTAAAAATTTCTAATTTAGCTTGTACTTACAAACTCCTTGGGGTAACCTCCTCCTCCACTCATTCCGAAGCTGGGCAGCTCGTTCTCTGCTCCCTGAGGCAACAGCTCCTGCCGTTCCGGCGGCCACCTGGCGCAGCAATTGCTCCCGATTGCCGGCCAACAGTTTCTTGAGCAGCTTGGGATGCTTCAGCGGGGATTTCTTGCCAGCCGCCGCCGGTCGTTGTGTGCGATTCAGCTGAACCTCCAGATCAACGGTGCTGAACAGAACAGCACCAGGTGGCTCGATGTGCCGGGCAATCCCGTAGAGCTTCAGCACCGTGGACTCGTTGTACCGCAGACGACAGGTGACGGCCCTGGCCTGGAGTATGATACCGCTGTCGGGCACAAATTCGTAGGCATCCCGGGCATCCGGACGATTGCGGCACTGCAGCTGCCAGTGCAGGAAGAAGTCGCCGCCGAAGCTCTGGGAAATGGAGACGCCACCGAGCAGGCTATTGGCACCACCTGCATCCGTCATCATGGCATTGAGCAGCGGTTGTCCCGTTTTGCCACTCAGGATGGTGGTCTGCGAGTAGTAGAAGACGGGAAATCCAGGACCCGTGTTGTACTTGACCATGAAATCGGTGACATTGTCGTGATCGAAGAGCCCCGGTACAATGGCACTGACGCACTCGCTGGCCGGGAAGGTGTAGTTCCACATCATCGTGTAGTTGGCTCCGTCGAAGGCCAAAACACTGCGATTGAAGGCGGCCACCACCACGTCCGAGATTCCATCGCCATTGAGGTCGGTCAGCACGGCGGGCACCATGAGTCCCGATCACGGTTGGCGATGGAGCGGCGTAAAGTGCTTCTCACTGGTGTGCGCCATCAGGGAGTACAGTCGCAGGGAGTAAATGCCACCTGGGGTGTTCTGACCCCCGGTGACGATCAGCAGCACCTCCGTTCCATCCGCCTGCGTGAGCATCTGAATGGGCACAAACATCTCCTCGCGATACGGCGTCGGAATGCTCCGGATTACCTTGCCCGTCTTGCCGGAGATCAGCTTTATGTGCCCCGCCTTCCTCGCGCTTCTCCAGATGGGCGGCTTTTATCTCCGGCACCCCATCTCCGTCCAGGTCGCGCAGCACATTGATCGTGTACAGATCCATGACGATCGGTGAGTTCGTCTCCACCTCTATTTCGCGGAAGCGCCAGATTACGGAGCCAGTGCGGCCATTTATGGCGTAGATCATCTGTTGGGGAAGTAAGAATAAAAATATTTAAATAATCATAAAGAATATTTTAGTAATTTAAACAAAATCTTCAAATATTTCCTTCCTTTGAAGTACACTGATAAAAAATGGAGTAGGAAAAAGGGTAGCTTTATATTAAATTCAAAATTGAATTTGAAATATTGAAGTCGATTTCTTGATATACAAATTAAAATAAAACAAATTAAAATGATATACAAATAAAAAAAATAATACCCTCTGCAAGGGTATAAAAATCGGAGCTTAATTGGAAACATTTTTTTTTAAATAAAAGGTAAGAGTTAAAAAAAATTTAAAAAAAAAACCGATCCTTATATTTCAATCCTCTATAAAAAAAAAGTTTCGATGGATTCTGAGATTTGACCCAAATGGGGCTGTCAAGTTTCACGTGGAATTACTCTATATCTAAGGCTCCCATAGGAATAATAAAATATATATAAGAAAGTTCATTGTAACTTTTTAGGAAGTAGGCGTTTTGATTTTTGACAACTTAAGAACTAGCTTCCTTTCTTCTTAATTATATCATTTCATAAGTTATCTTTTTATAATAAAATAAAACATTGACTTTATAGCGGCGGCCTTGTGTTTGTATGAACAATCACAAGAGCCCTCAGAGTGACGTTTTTTTTCGTGAATAGTCAGCAATTTTTTGACGTGTGCACCTTGTACGGGTGGTAAATTCGATACTCTCCGCTAACAAACTTTGTTGGTAAATTACAATTAAATTCCTATGTATCCCCAATAATAATATTACTCATAAATGGCACTAGCCAATACTTTGTTTGATAAATTTATAATGTGAAAACGAACTTAAAACCAGGAAGTGTTAAGTTTTGTAACGCCCTAAATTGGAGGGCGTACAAACTTCATTTAATTAATCGTTATTTAGCATTATAATTAGCTTTAAGTTCGGACACGAAGTCCCCATGTCATTCATTGGAGTAATAATATTTAAGAAGAAACTAATTAAGCTAGTGTTTAAATTTGAAGCCGAGACACGCACCACGGGCAGAACCCCCTTAACCCGCTATCGCACTCGTGGGGTGGGCGGATATTGTGGATTTCCTTTTATTGGAACGAAAGGAATCCTTTACCTTTCCTCGCCTCCCCGCTTGTCACTTGAACTGTCAATTACATTTGTGAACCGCTCATCCTCGAGCTTCCCCACATCAAACTCATTTTCCTGTGCATGCATGCGAAATTTTCCTTCGATTCTCTTTATTTCGGTTTCATCTTTTTCGGATCGGGTTTTTCCGCTCATATTGTTCTTATGTATATTCCTCAGTAGCGGCATTTGATTAACATTTAAATTTGCCTTCGGCGTATGTGCAACTGACAGTTGAGTTTGGCCTGTACTGCGGTACATTTTCTTCACGTTTCCATTTCGATTTCCCTGGGCTCGAGTGCAAAGTGTGTTCAGAGAACACGACGCGAGCTGAAGTGCGATTTCTAGGAATCGGAATCGGTCTCTTTCGTTTCGACCTTTCGCCGCGAGTGGACATGTGCTCGAGGATCTCTCCGACACACCAGTACCGAGACATCGAGACAGCTTTGCAAGCCAAGAACCTACGCCAGACGCCGTAACCCCTCATTCTCAGCGCCCCGCATCTCCACTAAATCGTACCAGAGTTACACGTAAGCAAGAGCATTTATTGTGAGGGCAGCAGCCAGGAAACTACTTTCAATAACTATCAAATACAGCACGGAAATCGAACAACTAAAACCCCGCGTGTTATTTCTTTACTAGTACACTTCCCCTCTTCTAACCCCACCCGTTCTCGATCCCGATCTACGGCGCGTGTTTGGTTTCGCATCCACACGACGTATTTCGGCTGAGAGCTCCCTCCTTAGAATCCTCGTAGACTTCGAGCCTAGTCGGAGTATAGAACCCCCCTTAATCTCCGAGAATATCCGGAGCGTAGAGCCCTAGTAGACTCCGAGAATATCCGGAGCGTAGAACCCTAGTAGACTCCGAGAATATCCGGAGCGCTGAACCCTAGTAGACTCCGAGAATATCCGGAGAGTAGAAACCTGTAGACACCGAGTGTATCCGGAGTGTAGAAACCCGTAGACTCCGAATATATCCGGAGTGGACGACCCCCGTAGACCCCAAGCTCACCAGGAGCAGATCAACGCCGCCGTTCACGCCCGGCGGAGTTCCCCTCCCCGTAGCCACGCAGCCAACTGCAATTGGAACTATCCAAGTTCACCACCAAGCGGCGCGATCGTCCTTTTCTAGTATCTCGCTCCGCCACCAGAGTGCACCACTGACGGGTCCCATCCAAGTTCCCCACCAAGCAGTGCGATCACCCACTGAGTACCTCTTTCTATCACCAGGGGGCGCCTCAAACGGGATCCTCCCTGGATTTCACCCCAAGCAGTGTGGTCGGCCCTATTCCAACCGCAGGCCGCTAGGCGGCGCGCTAATAGATGCCTTGTCGTCAACCTCGTGTTCAGATCGGTCTGACTAACGCACAGAGGTATACTCGGCGATTAGAGTCCGTGCGGAAACAGCCCCTTACGATTGACTACCCCGTCGCGGAACACTCGTATATCCGGGCGCCTTACAGCCTTCCCATACAAATTCCTACTACAGGTCTCACCCTTCTATATAAATTTCTTGTATAGGTTCCTTGGCCCCGACTGAGATTCTATCCCGGCCAGAGAACTGCGTTACAGTTTTTAGAAGGGGGTTGCTAAGGCAATAAGTGAAGTAGGTAAAGATAAATGACATAACTTCTGACGGACAACCTTGACAATAGGGGATCGTATTGAGCGGCCCGCGACGATTCAATTGGAATTTGTGAAGCGGAGGGCATGTGGCCGAAACATTGCACGATCGTGTTACGATCAAGCGAAAGCTAAGCTTGTGGTGCAATGTAGTCTGATGACCGACGGACTTTAAGACTTTTATTATTTTTCAGGCATCTTTAATATTTATTCTCGTTATGTTGGAGAGGAGAAAGACTTACCAAGAACCCACCCCATCCGGCGAGCTTAGGCCGGCAAAATTGGTGCCTGAACATCGAATGTCTTTCCCTCGGCCCAAGTCCTTTTCAGGACTAGGGCATTAATATGGCCACGTAACATATTCTTATGAAAAACCAATTTTAAAAACAAAATGTTTAGTGTGGGGAAATTGCGTAATGGAGATTATGTACGCATCAGTAAATATAAACATGTGTTTGAAAAGGATTATACACCGAATTGGAATACAGAAATTTTTAAAATAATAAGTGTGAGAAACACATACCCTACCACCTACTTGTTGGTAGACTTCAAAGGTAATCCAATACAAGGTGGTTTCTACAAAGGAGAACTAAAAAAAAAAACTCGTTTCCCAGACAAATATTTAGTGGAAACAAGAGAGAACTCTATAGTCGGGTGCCCCGACTATCAGATACCCGTTACTCAGCTAAAGGGAGTCCGAGGGAGATGGAGATATTAAACTTTTATCGAGCATAACTTTTTAACGAATGTTTGTGGGCGATTGTGGCAGTTAGAGGTGGCGTAGCTCTCGGCTGAAATAAACTTGCGCTGTGTAGGAAGCCCAAGAATATGTGTGGGGTATCCCAACTTTCTAGCTTTTGTAGCTTTCAAAATCTCAGCGTTCATACGGACGGACGGACAGACAGACAGACATGGCTATATCGACTCGGCTAGTGAACCTGATCAAGAATATATATACTTTATAGGGTCGGAAACGCTTTCTTCTCCCTTTTAAATCGGTTAGCACTTTCGGCAGTGAAAGCAGCCGGTGATCGGGCAGCGGGTCTTAAGGTCTCCAGCGAGTCGCAGACTACAACGGAGATACTGAAGCCTTTCGTCCTGGCATCATTTGTTAGTGAAGTATATTTTCCAGTAGGATCGTCCTCATCGCATGCATCGCATGAAACATTTCCGACCTTTGGAGTAATATAAATATTCATATTTCGGAATTTGGATGTTTTATTAAATTAAAGATTTGTCATAAGCGTATAGTATTAAAATTAAGCAAGATCTGTATGTTAAATATGATTCTTGTTATGGTTCACGAAAAACAGGTATAAAAAAGTACATATAATTATAAAATATAAAATGTAAGCCCCGAAGGATACGTTATCAGTCAAAAAGGGGATACCTTAAATACATATGTATATTTTCTTAAATAATTATTTTTTCGATAAAATAAATTTTCCACTTCGATTTAGGAAAGTATCTTTTGTTAATGCACAGGATTGTGTCTATTTATCAGTAAAGTTATTACTTTGTGTGATTACACTAGTTTACAAAATAATATTCTTGGAGTGCTTCACAGCAATTGACTTAAAATTCTGTTAGTGTTAGAGCCTTAAATCACGAAAATACAACTAATTTTTTTTTTTGGTGGCACAGTTTTTTTTTTTGAATATTTTTTAAAGTTTAAAATGCTAATTTTCGGACTTGTTTCGAATTTTTTCCTATATCACGACTCATATCCACCCAATTGGGACAGTTTTCGTTTCATTTTAAAGTCAATAGATCAGAGCCTAACTTTGCTATACAGATCAATATGATTGGTATTTTAAAGTATTTTTAAAGTTCGGATTTTTCTACTTTTTTCGGTAGACAAAGTCCAAATTTAAGTTTTATCATAGGCGGCGACATGATAACAAAAATGAGTGGTGATGGCAGCCGGGGCAAAAATATACAGCCGACTTATAGTCTATTTACATTGGGGTGGAGTTATGGAGTTTGGGGTTATTGACATAACCCTGTTTTTTACATAGGCTGTGTATAGACAACTAGATGTGGGCAAAATTGAGGTACTTTTAGGGTCTTTGGTATTTCTGAGTATTTTTTATATTTTTTGGTATATTTTGTATTTATTTCCTATCGGTGAAGGTCCATCCCTAGTCAAATAAAGAACACAAACAACAAACAGTAGATGTCATTACTCGATATTTGGAGTTAACCCAGTGGAAACACTTTTTTGGAGTAATCGGGTTATTGGCTCCCTCGATAGGTTACCCCACATAGTGTAACTAGACTATTACAGTCGACCCAAAAACACATTTTTCATCTTTGTCGAGCTGCTCCGCTGCCACTACTTATGCAATCATAATGATCTGTATGGCAAAGTTAAGCTCTGATCTATTGACTTTAAAATGAAACGAAAACTGGCCCAATTGGGTGGATATGAATCGTGATATAGGAAGAAATTCGAAAAAAGTCCTAAACTTAACATTTTAAACTTTAAAAAATCATTAAAAAAAAACTGTGCCATCGAAAAAAATTAGTGGTATTTTCGTGATCTATGGCTCCAACACTAACAGAATTTGCAATCAATTGCTGTGGAGCATTTTGGCTGTAAACTAGTGTTACTAGTCAAACTTCTGCATAGTTTGCGAATTTGATGTGCTTTTTTAAATTGAATATATGTAACCACTAGAATTATATGTTCAATATTTATATTACGCTCTCATATTAATGACCATAACCAGATTGAGGGTTTAAAAAAATTACGAGCCTAAAAATGATTTACATCTGATGATATTATAAATTATTTGTAAAGCTTTAAAGATATAAACTACTAATTTTTTATCATTTTAAAATTACAGTATTTTATATTTGTGTTATATTGATTGCATCACTTATAGATTCCCTTCGTAACAGCTGCTTTGTATCATTTTCTATTTCAATCGGAGATATTCCAGCACTACGGTCGTTTAAATAAGTAGTGTCCTCCTCCACAATTTTTTCCAGAATAGCATCGGATCCGCTTAGTCCTAGAAACATTTTTAATTACACCAATCACTGAGCTAGTGCAATATTATTTACCATTACGTCCAAGTGTCGGTCCATTACATAGAGTTTCTGAAGTGCCGCAATTTACGACAGCTACATCTGTGGAAGAGTTGTTACGTCCGCTCTTTTGTAAGGCAACAGCTTTTCGAGCATGACGGGTGGTCAGTACACCAGTTTCAACATCTCGCTCAAGTCGGTGCCCTGAATACCATTAATGTGGAAGAATCCGCATTTACATACATATATAAAGACATATTACCAGAACGAGATCGAGTAAGCTGACGCTGCACGTAGTCCTCAAGGTCCTCCTCTTCTTTCCGACTTATGAGACAATTTAAGATTAGTAGAAATAATCCCAATCCGAGGGAAAATAAACCGGTGCAAGTCACTTCATTCCACCAGGCAGAGCTTGAACCTAATTAATCGATTAGCTGAAGCAAATTAAACATAGAATAACTACATACTAAATACATTCCAAGACATAGTTTCATCTGGAATAATACCAGCTCCGCAAAGAAAAACTCCAAACACAACGAACACAATACCAATATGCAACATTCCAATACTAGTAACTACCTATTTATAAAAAAAAATTATTTAATTTATGTATTTTTTATATTTTAAAACATATACCTGGCTGTCAAGCATTCCAGTACCGGCGTTATGTGCATGATGGGGATGATGATATTTGCGTCTTACGGATCCCGTTGGTGAATGATAGGTTTCTCCACTCTCGGAACTTTGGGTGCTGTAGCGCCTCTCTCGTGCCCTTTTTTGTTCATCTCGTCGTTTTCTTTGCCGCTTAATAGCCATTGCGGAATGTATACCCACAGAATGCATTTTTTAATCCTAAAAAAAATATATGTTACATATTTAGTTTAAGTGCATTAGGGCGGTGCACGTTTTTAAGGTTCGAGCCTCACCAGCGCAATGATGTAATTAAGGTATACCAAAACAAAGTCATACACACTTTTGCCTTTAATGACAAATATTATTTAATTCCTAATGCTGTTTATTCCACGACATTGTTCGGCTCATTCATTAGAGGCTTAAGCCTAGTACCCAGTTCGGCTACGAGTTTCACTAGTCAAAAAAAATATTATTCTTTAGTAGTGTGACCGAAGTTTTCAGAGTTCACCCGTTTTGCTATAGCATGGTGTTATTGTAAATCAGCTGGGTTCACGATCAGCAAATCACTATGGACGGCAGTCCATGTAGTGACGAAGCGCACAAGGTGAGTGTGCGAATGCGACTACTACTATAGCCGCAAAATTTAAAATCTGCTGTGATAGTCTGATCGTAATGAGTAATACACCAAATTAAAGGTAATGCTAAAACTTAAAGGGTTGCATACCAAGACCTCAAGAAAATCAATTGGTTTGAGAGAGAGAGCGGTGAAAGTGTAAAATTGAAAATTTAGAAATTTGGATACGTTGAAGTCGGTGGGGATAATTACTGAAAACTGAAAATCTACTGAAAATCCGCCTAATATGAGGGGTCAATCGGACGCTCCATTCCAAACTTATACCGAAAACAAATTTGCCGCGGCCTAGTCAAAATGAAAGTTTAATTCTGTTTGTCAGTTTGTCCAAAACATGGTTTTAAACTCCTGGAAACTTGATATGATGTTTAACAGCTCGATATAAGAAACTTTAGTTCTACCATTTTTGGAATAACCCGCTAGTTTAGCGGGAAAACAGCTATAAATAGCTAAAATTCGGATACCGTAACTTCTATACTACCAAAGCTACAGACTTGTGCTGCATCTCGTTTGAAAGGTATTTTTAAATGCTATAAACGCCTTTTATATGAAATTTGTGTAAATGTAATATTTAAAAAGATATGGACTAATTAACAGGGGAAATCCTAGAAATAAATGGAAGGCGGTTGAGTCCCAGCTGTTCCTAATGTGCCTGCGTATGGTACGCGAGAAGACCGGTTCATCGCCTTGCTGTATGGACGCGCGCTGAAACCAGGGCAGTGTAAAAGTGGTGGCCTGTGATAATCAGCGATCAGCTGACTTATACAAACAGGCGGCGGCACAGCCCGGAGCAGTTTAGTCGCACTAGATTGGTGTGACCCCAGGTAGACCCCCTGCAGGAAAAATGCGAACTAGTCTGAAAAACAACTAGTTATACAACAAATATAAAGCAACCGGAATTTGTCTGAATGCATTTGGACTACACGGGGTCTAGAAAATTTGTGCTAGTCGAAAAAATGATTAATACAAAACTAGTAAAAAAGAAACTTGTCTCGGACTAGTACCTTTCTGACAAAAAAAACCTTAAAAATATTTAACTGGTAGAACAAATACATGTTAGGGTCTAGTTAAAAGGCAACTGGAATTTAACTAGTTGCAAATGAAACACATATGATCCAAAAATATAGCCTAGGGTGTAAATGTCTTGGGAAATTTAACACTAAACAAATCAAACACTTGAGGTCCTCGGTTCAATCCCCGGTCTCTCTACATTTTTTGTTGCTTTTTGTTTGGTAGGTGATGCTTAAGTTTTATTTTAAACGTTGTTTAATCTGTCCGAGGCAATATATTTGTGAAAAATCACTGTTTTTGAATTATGTTACACTAAAATTCATAAACCTTGTTAGGGCATTACAAAATGTGATGCGTGTATGGCTCAATCAGTTAGTGTGTCTACAAATCCAAAGGTCCCGGGTTCAAGTCCTAGAAAGGGCGACTTGCCTCAAAAAAAGTAAGTTTGTTTTAATTCCATTTAATATTCCATTTAATTATCATTTACTATGTTTGATTACATAATAATTATCAGAAATTCTCTAAGGACCGCGCCTATTAATTGGATACTAAATTAGAAGAGCGTCAAGTAAGGCATCGTTAAGTACTAGTGAAATCCAATCACTTGATGGTTTAGAGATTAATTTTTAGTTTTTTCGTGAAAATTTTTTTTAGTGTAGTTTAACAGCTGTAATCATAAATTGGTTAACAGTCACTAGTGCAAAACTAGTACCAAATGGACTAGTTGTTTCCAACGACAAGCATATGAAAAATGGACCACTTCGTTACATGGAAATGGACATAACTTGAACTAGTTAACCTTCTTGACCCAACTAGTATTTTAATAGTCCAAAACTGATTCCGTTTCCTGCAGGGCCCCGATCTAGGATTTGGCTCCCAGCAGCAATAAAATCACCGGAGGTCATCCTATGTTGCAAGAATGCAACCCACAAAAGACAGGAAAGTCGTAAAGGTGGAGGAGCATGCTGGTGATGTGAATCAAGCGATCGTGGTGCTGAATAAGGTCGATACCTCCCTCCCATAGAGACTGCTCGGGGAGTGCTAAATTTCGGTTTCAGCTCAATTCACATCAAAATTTATAAAGGGGACTCTAATTCCACGGAAAGCCCTGCCGGCAACCCAGCTGAGCAGGCGCTTGCGGAGGAAGTGGAGGCCGCTGGTGTGCCGGAGGACGGCTACTCAACCGACTTGTTGCTGAGCAGAGAGATGCGAGCGCTGGGACCAGCAATCGATAAAGTGGATCGAAGCGATTCGGAGGCCGACGTTACTGTGGTGGAGGTTGCAGCTGAGGATGTCGCTAAGACTCCTGCAGATCAACCTACACCGCAGTAAAGCAGCGTCCGCTCCCCTATTGCTTCGCCTGGCCAAAGGCGAAGCCGATGAGTCTTAGTTGAGGAACCTTGGTTAGCTGGAGGCAAAGTTGCTGGACTAGGAAAAAAAAAAAAAAAACAAGTTCGAACCTGCATTTTAGCCAAAAGCCATCTTAGTACATTTCTGCTTCGCAATTACAGCAACGGAGACAACACGGCAATAAGCCAGGAGCTGGAAAACGGCTCTATAAGGATGCTATCGGCCTACTTGGCTCCGATCCCCAGACGCGCTAGTCGGAGGACTGGTACAGGAATGTGAAGAGCTCAAGAAAGGTTTGGTGATAGGATGCGATGCAAATGCCCACCATACTCAGTGGGGCTGCCCTTTCAACAACGACAGAGGTGAGTCTTTATTTGATTTCATTCTAAATTCGAACTTATTTCTTTGTAATAGGGGTAATACTCCTTTATAACAAAAACGTGCCTTGGTATCAGATTCACTCATAACCACAGTCACAAACTGGGCTGTCTCCGACGAGCACTCATTTTCATATCACAGGTTTTTAGAGACAACTTTGTCCCTCGTGTCACCTGCGCCGGTCAGCTTTGCCAACCCCAGGCGGGCAAACTGGAATAAATACAAAGAAATTCTATTGAGCTTCCTCCCCAGGGAGCCCCCAGGGAGCCCCCAGAAAGCACTCTTTGCACTCAGGAGCTAGATAATATAGTAAACAATTTCACAGAAGCATGCAACGCGGCATTCACAGCTGCATGCCCGTTAGGAAAACCTAGAGGAAAGAAAAAACCTCCTTGGTGGACCCAGCAATTATCAATCCTCAGAGCGAAATGCAGAAGCCTGTTCAACAGAGCGAAAGCTACAAATGAGGACATAAACTGGCGAAGCTACAAAAAGGAACTAGCCACATACAAAAAGGCCATCAGAAAAGAGAAGAGAAATGCGTGGCAGAACTTCTGCTCGGATATTTCTAAGACAGCCGTAACCTTGGGCTATCTAGAAAAGGCTGACGGATTATGGTCGGACTCTAGTGAAGAATCCCTAAACCTACTCCTAGACGCTCACTTCCCAGGGAGCCTGCAAACAGGACATCCCCCAGGAAGACACAGTGGAGAAGAAATAAACCTAAAATGCCCATCGGCTTTTACAATTTTGCCTATTAATTGCTCATTGCAGCTAACATATATCTGTCTTGCTCGCACCTACGTATAGGCTGAGAAAAAATTGTTCTAAAGAATGAGACGAACAATGTCGTGAAATAACCGCATAAAAGATTATAGATTATAACAAATTTTAGATTTAGATTTACTTGCGCATATGGGCAATTCTATGCTGTCGCACGCGACATTGTTAAACTTTGCAGGTGGAAACGAGCACGGAAGCTAGCTTCAGCAAGCCGAATACACTTGCAGATTTCAAGAATAAAACTTAACTAGAATAGCAACGTAAAAAATTTTATTTTAGATTTTTTACTCAAATGTTTCTATGGGATCTACAGGATATAGATTTTACCCTATTGTTCCTATAGGGCCTATAGGATATACCGGCCTGTTTCAGTTTTCACTTGGACGTGAATTTGATTTCATGCTGGCGGATTTAAGTCCGCCTGTCAAATGCTTGGCGGAAAGTTTCCGTGTGAATTTTTAGGAAGTTAACAGAGTAAGAAAGAGGGATATTTTAAGCCATGCATTTCTTTCGGAAGTGAGTCCTGGAACAGGTCAGAGAAATTCGATTCCGTATGAATCTTTTAGAAGTGAAAACTAGAACAGTGCCGATAGACATCCGATCGGCACGCGCTTTTACCCTAATCAAGGTATGCATTAAAGAATACACTACGCGAAATATCTTCAAACCGATAAAGTCGATTTTCAAACTTGATCTGCGTACAAATTATTATTTTAAGTAAGCGGCCCGGTGGCGGTACAGTTCCTGCACAGGCTAAAGGGGCACCAGTGAGGTGCTTGCTGGATATAGAGCGAGGGGGCACCGGCTGACAACTATAACCGCTGAAGTGCTAGGTTTAACGTAGCCGCTGCTTAGCTCTCTTCCAATTGGTTGGGGGTTGGCTGCTGGGCAACTACGGCAACAACTATGGCCGCTGATGAGTCAACTGAAGATTACGGTGAGGGGATAGCTTCCCCCTATGCCCCCGGCATTAAGCTCAGTGGACGAATGTAAATAAGAGTGCTTTTTATTCGAAGTATAAAACAGAACTGAATATAAAAATCTTAAAGCTAACAGAGATCATAGC